TGCCAAAATCCACACGGAGGGCCAAGCAGCGAATGGAGAAAAATTGATCAGCCCATGACCAACACGTACAGCCACAACTTTAAATTGCTGATCGATAAAGTCAGGCCCAGCTGTCCGAAACGCCAGCGAATACATAAACTCATTCCAATGAGCACAACATGATATCTGATTATAGACTGATTACAAAGGCAATTTAGATGGGTTAGCAACGAAAAAGAAACGTAGGTTACCTTTTCGCTGTATACGTAGCCGTTCGGGAGAGCCATCGGCGGATTCTCTTCGTTCATCAAAAGGCCAGTCTGGTAGCAGGTGAGAACAGAATGGTCATAATTGCCGAAGGGAAGGTCGAAAGCCAGCCGGTTAATCAGTGGATGGCAAACTACGCAGTCTGGATGGCGAGCTTTGGCGCTGTAACAAAAACTGAAAACAGAAAAAAAACAAGTAAACAATCAGCCAATGAAAACCGACAGAGCTACACAGCAAGTGGCACATGAAAACTTTATGGGTCAGGCGAATGACGTCAGTTGTGGTGCTGGCCGGCATCAGACTTCTGCGTTGTCTAAAGAGGATGAGGTATTCGGTAATTTTACAAATAAAAAGGCCAATCAGTCGGTAACTTACTGGGAAAGATGCCAGGCTTGCTGCCCAACTACAACAGACGGTTTCGCCAATGACCCAAAATTACTTACTAGCCGAAGTAGATAGAGGGGAGATCTCTGCACGTACCACGAATGTGGCAGTGGTGCAATGGCGGTTGATTATAATTTTAGCGATGACATAAGAAATTACAGGTGCAAATAGAAGCCTGAATTCCTGCATGCGGGTCCCTTGGTTCAGTTAATATTTACAGACGGTTTGACGGAAGACTTAGAGAGGTTAAATTAGGAGAAATTGCTGAGACCAATGGAGTGTTGCGAATATTCTTGTTACTCAAGTCCACGAGTGAACCTGTAGTCGTAGAACGAGAAACTCAACGCTAAGGCATCTTATCTCAGCAGTGCGAATTGAACGTATAACTTTTTGTAACCGGTATAACTACAATTTGGTTGTTCAAAGTAACCCGTGTCAGAGATTTTCATCGGTTTTACCATCGCAACAAGGATGCCAGTCATAGACAGTGGACTGCAGTAGCAGTTATGCTCCAGCGCATAGTGTACTCGAATTTGACTCCAGCTTGGG